TTTCCCTCCCCTCCTCAGGAGTGAAGCACCAGATCCGGGTTCACCTGGCCTACGGGTTGGGGTGCCCCATCCTGGGGGATCACAAATACTCGCACTGGAGCAAGCTGGCACCCCAGGTAAGGCTGGTCCCATGCTGGTGGGGCCCAGGGCAGGATACAGGGGCAGATGGAGCCTCCCGGCGTTTTGAGGCCTCCCTCCCAGCTGAAGAGATCGGGTTGTGGGAGGGTTGTTGGCACCGTTCTCACCTCCCTTTTTGTCCTTGGTGCAGAAGCTCCCTGAAATCACCTTGAAGAGGCTGAAACTGGAACAGACGAAGGCTCGCCACCTCCCCCTCCACCTCCACGCCCACCGGCTCTCCCTCCCTTTGGGCACTGGCAAGGACAAGCAGATAGACCTGGTGTGCAAACCACCTGACTTCTTCAAAAGCACGATGATGAAGCTGAAGCTGGAGATTCCTGAGGCCTGAGCAGAGGCAGGACAAGACTGGTGCTGTGCCTCTCTGCATCTCTAGCACATGGTAGCGCTGGGTCCAGCTGTTCTGCGGTGGCATCTGCCTTAGAGCCAGTAGCGTGAAGAAATCTATGGTCTCTGCTGCTTGAGAGAGACTTTGCCTTTGGGTAACAGTGCTGCTGGCTTCAAACCAGGTACTGGAGTGTGTTTTCTGCCCGATTTGGTGCAGGATCGTGACTGGGTGCACTGAAGAGCTTCTTGTTCAGACAAACGAGGCTGGACAGAAAGTGGACTTGCTGTCCATGCTCTGGACTTGTCTCTGAGCAATAAAGGATCCAGTTCCCATGGTGCTGAAGCTTCGTGTACTCTCTGTGGTCAGGCCAGGAGGACCTCAGTTCCTGAGCAGGTTTGATTGTGTGTGGGTGCAGTCCCTCCTGGTTCAGGGACTCAGCCCTTCTGCTGCCGCTGGTCTCTCCAGGGCTGTTTAGCAGGGCTGGCTCCGTGTGCTCAAATTTGGAGACACCTTCGTTTGAAAACTGAGTACGTTTGGCAGCGGCTGTGGATTTTTGCTGTGCCGAAAGGCTGCACAGAGCCACGGCATCGCGGGGAGTTCCTTTCCTCGGCTTGGCCAAGCCGCTCTGGGACTCCCTCTGCTCCATGCTGTAGGAGATGCAGGCACGGGGCTTTCTAGCTAGTGGACCTGTGCTCGGCAGTGACTACGAAGCCCTGCTCAGCGACGAGGCCCAGGGGATTCTTCCTCTCCCACCGTCCCTCCTGATTTCCATATCGCTTATTTCTGGATCCTGTTATCTGGATCCCTCTCCCTCTGAAGTTTGCCGCCTCGTCCCCGCTCTCGTGTGGGCTGGTGGTCCCTTGGAGCCAGGTTCCTTCCTCCGCACGGCAAAGCCTCACGCTGCTGCTGAGGAGGGGGGTGAGCAGAGAGATTGAGAAGCTGCTGTCCAGGGGAACCAAAGCTACTTTCTACTGAAAAATGCAGCCACCAATGTCCTCCGGCCTCCCAGTGCCTGTAGCCCTGCTAGACAGTATTGTGGTTCCCCGCAGCCCTTCTTGACCTGTCCCCAAGGGCTCAGGACTGGGCAGCAGGACCTTCCCATGTCCCTTCCTCCCTGCTGCCTCTCTCTACACCTGCACGAGTGTGTAACGGATTCGGGTTGGGGTGCTGCAAGGGGCGCTCTGTACCCCACGGTGCCGCCTGGGGTGGTTCGGTGGGGTGATGCCCTGTCCCCTGCCTCCCTGCTCGGTACACAAGGTGAAAATAGCTCGGGAGCCCCACGCCCCTCGAACGCGCTGCTAGAAATACATCTGCTTATGAGAGAGGGGAGTAAAACCACACGGAGCCATGGGAAGGGCTGTGGCCGGGGAGGAATGCCTCCTTCCCAGCCATCGCTGTGCTCCCTGGTGCTTTTAAGGCTGTTTTTTCTATTTCGGGGCGTACTATTTGCATCTTCCCCGGGGAGAGGCTTCCCCTGTAATTATCAGTCGATTTAACGCATGGTCTAAGCTGTCATTTACAGCCACCCGGTACATAACGCTTGGCGAGCGACGCCTTCAGCCCTACAAAGTCACTCGCCACGCTGGTTGCACCTCAGATGGTACCAGAGCCCCAGGCAGTAGCAGCGGTCTCTCCTCTTCCCTGTGGCCCATCCTGCGCTGACCGAAAAAATGTCCCTCTCGCACACGGCTGCCGAGTACATGCTCTCCGATGCCCTGCTGCCGGACCCCAACGGCTCCCGGGCCAAAGGCCTGCGCCTGGAGCTGCCGAGCGACCGCGTGCTGAAGTTCGTCACGGTGGGGGTGCC